TGCTGAACGAAACTGTTCTGGCAACGCTTCTAAAATCAGAGGGCTGCTATGTGAACTTCACAGATCTTGTATGGGAAGAGGTTTTGTAATATAAAGAAGCACTTGGAAGAACTTTGTTGTAGGTGAAAATCAAGTTCTGAAGAATGGATATAACTGTAGGTGCTCTTGTGTGCTGAGCACTGTTATTTTTTCGACACTATCAAATCTGAGCTGGGGCTGCCTCTGCACAAGTTAGGTTTTGCAAAAGCTCTCTCTGCTCCCAAGCAGTAGGACTTCTAAGCTGTTTTGATATCAAGAAGTTGGCCTGTTACGGTGTTATCAACAGACTTCCTCGATCTAATGCTTAATAGTTCAGGAAAAACCAAAGCTAAGTAAGCTTTTAGGCATGGGTGTTCATGATGATTCAGTTGTCTTGTCAGGTTTATGCTTGTGGGCAGTCCTGTTTTGTAATGAAGTCCATCCCATGAATACAGAAGCATTTTGACAGGCTCTGGTACTTCTGGCTGATAGGAGACCTGACTTCTCATTATTTTATTATAAACTCTGCTAATCTTGCTATGAACTTGCAAACAAAGCACGACTTACTGGGTTAAGAGGGGAGTAATGTCTTCTGAATGTGTGCTTTATACACAAATTTGCTGCATTATGTTTTGCTCTGAGACTGCTTTTACATAATTTGTGATGTTTCCTTCCTCTTTGGCCTAAATGTAGCTCTTAGGCTAGCTGTAAAAGCACTAGTTTAAGTGCATTTACTGGATAGTCTTCACTAGTGGTCATCTCTGCCAATATCAACCATATTAAATTCTCTCACATGAGTTAAAAACTGATATTTACTGCAAAATGTACTTGATGTTGGTGGTTGACCTCAGCATTGAGACCCTGCTTGTTGAAAGCATTTAACTATATCCATGAAAGAAACAAGCAGTCGAATGCTCCTGTGAGTCACATCAGTGGTATCTAAGTATCTGAGGCGGGTGTATTTGCAGAAAGCATTCTTGTCCAGATAGGCAAACTGAAGGCTTTTATAGTAGCAGAGGTACACAAGACCAGTATTAAGTCCACGCATTTAAAATAGTCATGCATCAAGCAAGTTTCAGGCTGTACTCTAGACCTTGCGGTGGTGCAGCTGGAAGGAGGTGCTGGTTATGTGTGCTGAACTTGGGAATCCTGGTATCATACTGGGACGTAGGATACTGAACACTGGCTGTGGTGATCTCTGCACTTGTCTCATAATAGAGTTCTGATTAGCATTGAGCAATCCTTGTCTGCCTTGCTATTTCTATTCAGGCTGAGGGAGCAAGCAGATTACAGGATTTCAAGTCATCCTCCTAAATCTGGCTTAATTCAGACCCATTGTGGAATTGAGTGTCTTCATAGAAGCACACATTTGCATCTGTAATGGCTGAACTATATTTACTTTTGAGTACACAGCCTGCCAAGTATCCACTTGGAATACACAGGGACTGTATAGACAAAGCAAATGTGTGGGAGTATAGCTTATATTGAGGACATAACTCCAAGATTACTTCTCTGTGGAGGTTTAACAGAAACAAGTGCTATTTAGTCATCTACATGATAAAAATTAACCTTAAAGCTAAGGCTGAGATGGTGATATTGGTATTAATTGATCAGCTGGGGATGATCAGTCTTCAGAAAGCTGAAGACTGATGTAGGAAACATGGTAATTGCTGAATTCTAGCAAGGTTTATAGAGATAAATATAAACCAGCTTCAGGTTGAGAGATCAACTGAAACTTGTGGCAAAATAAGGTAATCCATTCTAGAATGAATGAATTATTGTTTGGTGTTTGTTTTTTTTAAACGGGCCTTTGTAGCTGCCACATAAACAGTTTTCATAGTGTGAAATCTAACTGTTGGTTTCCTTCCTCCACCAGTCACCTCTTCCACAAGAACTGTATTGACCCTTGGCTCCTAGAACACAGGACATGCCCAATGTGCAAGTGTGACATACTCAAAGCTCTGGGTGTTGAGGTAAGCCAGTGTCATGGTTTAGGGCTGGGCTGGCCACTAAATCCTGGCCAGATGCACTCTGTGAACCCCTCTGCCCTCCCCAGAAGGGAAAAGAGAATAAGGGAGAGAGACTTTATGGGTTGGAAAATAAAACTAACAGATTTAATGAAACAATAATACTGATACTACAGGATAATAATGTAAAAAGGAAAATAATGAAATATATACAGATATGTACAAATGTATACAAAACCAATATAAAATCCTCCCCCAGTGATGATGACAGCACCAGAGGCTCTGCAGAGCAGGGCACTGGAACAGTCCCAGTCCAGACTCAGCAGCAGTGGGAGCTGATGCAGGAACACACAGATCAGGATCAGAGGCAGATGAACCAGCAGGGTCTGCTGGGACTTGGGCCATTGCAAGAAGGAAGGGTCTGAGATGGAAGGGCTCCAAGATGGAAGAAGGGTCGAGACCCTCGTGATCCCTTGACTTTATACCAAGTGTGACGTATGTGGGATGGGATACCTAGCTGGTCAGTTTTGGGTCTGCTCCCCCCGGTAAACACAGACACAGCACACATGGTGAGACAGTTGGCCTTGAGCTTATCAGTTGTAGCAGCACATACTGGAAAAACATGCTGCTAGTTTTCAGCAAGTCCAGCCACTTAAAATTGAGCTGAAAAGTAGAATCACTAAATAGAAAATTAGTTCTATTTAGCTCAAACCAGGACAGCCAGCAGTCTGCCTTTGTGGCAGGTGCCATCATCAGTATTTTGCCAGCGTAGTAACCACAGATTAAGCTATTTTATGCTGCCTCCAGAGCACAGATAAGCACAGGCGTTGCCATGTCAGTGGTGAGACGCTACAGGACTAATTGCTGTGTCCCTTTTAGCGAAGCCTGCAGCTGACCTGGTCTGAGTTGATATCATCTAAAGCCTTTTGGGCAGAACGTCAGCCAAAACTGATTGTAATGCATGACTGAAGAATCCTTGAAAAGTGACTGTTGGCATATATGGCTTTCCTGGAGCCATGCCACTTCTTTGGAATTTCTGTTGTGTTCTGCAACTGCTTGCTGTGGCAAGTGCCAGTGAAAGGTGCTGTTGCCAATGCCTGACACTACCTGGACCAGCTAAATTGTATGCCAGAGTTTGCCTGGGGCAGGGAGACCTGCACCGAGTGGAAGGAAGAATCCGTTTTCCTGGTACTAGGCAGTAATAGCAAAGAGATGGCTGAAGACAGCAGAAGCCGCATCTGAACTTCCTGCTCATTTAAGCAGTAAGTGGCCTTCAACCTGGAGGTCAAGAGCAGAGCTTTTTTCCATTTTAATTTTTTGTTTGTTTTTTTTCCCCTGGCTGTGAAAGTCCACTAGACTCCAGTACTTGCAGGCATTGATCTCTTGGAAAGATGCAGCCTCCTACAAAGTTGTAACTTAATTGAGTTTTTTTGTTGTTTTGTTTGTTTCACAAAGGTGGACGTAGAAGAAGTGGCTGTGTCTGTGCAAACCACAATATCAAATGGGACATCGAACATCTCTGTAGTTAATGAAGAGGATAATCGTAGTGAAACTGCATCATCTGGATATGCGTCTGTACAAGGAGCCGATGAATCTGTTCTGGAGGAACACGGACCAGCAGAAAGTGTGTCTATTTTTTCATTTCCCTTGCTAGATGGCGTTGCGCTTTGTTGCCTATGCTGTGAATTAGGAGGGAGGTTGCCTTAGTAACACCTCACAGTGCTTCAATACCTTGTTTTTTAAGGGTAATCTTAATCTTCTCATTTGTTTTAACACTTGACTCTGACGCTTGGCCTGTGTTTTCAAGTGAAACTCAGCCTAAATGTGAATTAAAACCCAAAGTCTATGAAAAGAGTGGTTGAAAATCAGCAGCTTACTACTTAAAGGCCAAAGAGATTTTCCTGAATACATCCCTCATCTCATTGTCTCTTTGGAGATTTCATTTTGGATGAGTGAGTGTTGCTTTGCCCCCAGATCTGTCTGCTTTAAGTGGTTAATTACTTACAGAAAACTTTGGAGTCAGTCCTGCTGTAGCTTCAGTGATGCTGAATAGAGATGACACATACTTCAACAATTTTAGATTTTGTCAAGACTGAGTCATCCTTTAACACTTTCAGAGAATTTTAATAGGGAAAGACTGTCAGCTTTTCCAAACACCTTATCTTTTTGAACAAGCGCAAATTAATTGAAAATGTCTTTTTAGTGCTCAGCTTTGCCAATACACACTCACTGTTGCTGTCGGCTTTTAAGAATTGAAAGGTTCCAGGTATACAACAGAAAGTAACTGTCCCCTGGATTGTGCTGTGTCCTTGGGGAAGTGGGGAAGCTTTCAGAGGTGAAAGGGATGCTCTGGCTGTGTCTGCTTAGACTTCATGCAGGAAGCCTAGCTGATAGGAAAGTGTGGGATTTGCTGCCTGTTACCTGGGGAACACGTTGCTCCTGTGAGTGATGTGTGTATGGGAATGCCTCATGTAGGCACTCCGGTAGTGCAGAGAGCACCAACAAGGTTAGTCTGTAGGAGAAGATCTTTCCCTCTGAATCAGCGTATGCCCCGCAGTTCATCCTGAACCTGGTCTCCAGAAGCTGCTCCTGATGGCTGTCTTCAGCAGCCCTCAAGTTACACCAGAATCACCAATCTCCTTACAGCTGCATTTTGTAGCCTCACGCAGCCTTCTGCCACGTGAGCACACCACCTCGGCTTGGTCAGCACTAGGGAGAAGTGAACTCCAGAGCTAAGCAGATACCTCTAGAAATGACAGGTAGTGTCAGGAATGGGCTCCTAAACTAATGAGAGGCAGCAGAAGAGTGGTAATTGGAGCATGGCCTTGGATTTCCCACTCTGCAGGAGTGCTGGGAAAAGACCACTGCAGTGGGCTTGTGGAAATAGAGCACGTGTGGTTTGCTTTAAGGTAGTAAAGCTTGCTCGTGGCACTCTGTAACTTGTCTCTTCTTGGTTTTGTTCTGCACAGACGACAACATGCACCTTGTGAACAATGAATCCCAGCCCTCTGCTGTGAACATCCTTCCACACGTTGACAACCCAAGCTTTGAGGCAGACGAAACACAAGTTCGTGAAGTCAGGTCCTAAGAACATGTCCAGCAACGTGGAGTAAGCCTTCTGCAGGAGCTGCCTTCTGCTGTCACCTCTATACCAAATGCTGCGAGACTACAGCAGAAAAATACTGCCTTGGCAATGCTGAGATCAAATAGACTCGTTCAAATCGTAATTGTATGGTTTGCCATTCTTAAAACTGTGTCTCCCAAATGGAATTTAGTTTTAGCATTCTTCAAATAAAGGTGTCTTAAATATAAAGAAAACCATCAGATTTTAACACTAAAACAAAAGTTTCATCTTCAGCAAAGCTTCTCTTCAGTGTCTGAGTCATTTAAATAAGGAGAAGATTCTTTGTTGTAGCTGTCTCTACTGGGAATTGTTTTGACTTGGGTTTTTTTTGTTGTTTATTGTTTTAATTCAAGTGGATTTTCATTGTAAACATAGCTTTTAATCTGGTCTAATAGTTATTTACCAGACACAGTTTGGTTTAATGGAACACTGTAATATTTCAGTGCACTAATTTGATAGGAGAAAGTACAAACTAATGCCTGTCAAACTGGATTTTGCCCACAGTGTCTTTGGTTATCTAGCAAACTGATTGATTCTCTTTACCTCTTGGCTCCAACCCGCCAACCACGCATTCCTAAAGAGGAAAAAAGAGAGCTTCAAGCTGACGGGCCAAATCCGACTTGCACAATACTGTAAAGGGAACAATTGCCGGAACTTTTCAAACCTGTTAATATTAGACAGTCTGAAATATCCTCCATGACTTTTGGAATTACAACCATCTCTAGCACCAGCAATATGCCGGAGTCCTGGCTTTGTGAGTCTGGGATGACTTCAGGAAGACTGAACTAAAGATGAAAAGAGAGATTCTTCCCAAAGGTTCTGCTGTGCGTTGTTCACAAAATATCCAGCCTCTGAAAAACGCTGGACTGTTGCTGCGCATTGTCTTGCCTGTGCTTAAGCTGCAGGGAGAGCTGATGTCCCGTAAATGTAATGGATGGTTGGAGAAGTTGTCTGCCACCGGTGGAGAGTTGAGCTGGGGTTGAGGAGGAACACTGGGTGCCTCAATGGTAAGTGTAGGGCCTTGCCCAGTGAAGGTAACTAAGGACATCTTACAGATGCACTTTATTTTTTTTAATCTCTATATCTATGGCTTGTTTCTAATATTAGCAGAACTTTGTCTTAAAGCCCGCAATAAAGTACTATTGAATCCGGAGGGGAAAAGCAGTGCATTTTCTTATCTGTAGTACAATTAAAATTGTTGTAAATATTTCATGATTTGTATTGAATTTGAATATGAGAATGTAAATAAAACTATATTTTGATGACCCTGACTGACATTAAATGTCGATTACCAGCTCTTAGTAGAAACAGTTGCTGAATTTGCCCTGTCCCGCAGCCCCCAAGCAGCAGTGCTTGCTCAAACTAATTGGAGTAAGGAGTGCTAATTATGTGCAGGGTGCTACTGTTACAGGGATTGAAATTGTGTTGAGTAGTTGTATTCTATATAAAAGAAAACCAAGCAGCTTAGGGTGTGTTCAGTGAGCTGCTTGAAATACCTCTCAACTGGTCTTCTAGGCATCTCAAATGAGCAATTTGGATCAGACAGGTTGTATTTTACTTTGCTCAGCATCCCTTCCTTACTCAAAATTTTATGCTTGCTTTGCCCTTCGTTCTGTAGATGTAGTAAAAACTTGTCCCTCTCCTGGCCAGGTTGGTACTAGTTAGTCTTGTGCTGCTTTTTAGCTCAGTTCCAAGTCTAGTCAAGGAAGCATTGGTTGGTTATGGGCTCAAATTGTAAAGCTGAGTATAACTGGACTTAATACTGAAGCTGTACTTTGCTGTGATTGCCTTTCTATTCTACATCTGAAGTGCAGAGCAGAGAAGGGAACATCCAAGAAGTAAATATACAACCTTTGAACACTCTCATGAAATCATCTGCTGGTCTTCTGTGTTTACCAGGAACAAGATTTGACCTTCAAGAAAAAGGGGTGATTCAGGTCAACCCAATACTTTGAAAGGCACTTCTGCATTTTTCTCCTGTTCCAATCTACACATTTGGATTGCTTTATTTATAAGATTCAAGCCCTTCTATTTACTGTCTTTTAGGAGCAATAAACCTGCCTTTTTTCCAGTACTGTATGTCTAAGGGTGAGGTGAATGCACAGCATTTTTGCGAGGAAGGTTCTAGGGGAGTACTGGGGGCTACAGCAGTTCATGGCAGTGAACTCATGCTACTGTAGGAGCAGTTGATGTGTTCTGTGAAGATGTGGACTTGCTTGGAGCTCAAGGCACTTGTGCTAATTTTCAGTAAGATTTTGTAGATTCTTGTATCAAATGTGCAGTACTGCTAAAGGAATAAATGCAGCGTTTGTACCTGATCAGTATTTGAGCTACTGCTGGGCAGAAGAATTGAGTGCTGCTCTGGTTTTGCAGCTTAACCTGCGATGTTCTTTTGTGTGCCAGTTTATTTGTAAATATCAGCTATGCAAGAGGTTTTGTTTAAAGATGAAAGCATGTGAATTTCATGCATGCAGTCTATGATACTGAACTTGGGTCTGTTGCTGCCTGACTCTTCTTATTTCACGGGGCTCTGCAGAGGTTGTCCCCTGTGAGAACATTGCTACCGTTCTACCTGTTTTAAAGAAATTTCAAAGCTCCACTCTCACTTTGTATTCCCAAGTTTCCATGGATAGCAGCAGTCTTTAGCTGACCCTGCTTAGAGCATTGCGCAGCAGACTTGGGGTTTTTTTGGGTGATGCTATGGGCTTGAATGGCTTGGTGTTTTGTATGCATATATATGTGCACTATGGCATGATGGACTCTTTGCTCCAAGCAAGAGGCAAACAGGAATGTGCCTGGGCATAGGGTTCTTTCTGAAATGCAATGTAAGCTTGCTGTTGTGCAATAGTTCTTGGTTTTGACTATACATACATAAATGTGTGCATGTAAGAGTCTGGAAAATACCTGCCTGTGAGTGGTAATGGTTGGTAAAATGTGTGATTCTTGCCTCTCTTAATATTCCCATTGAGTCACACAGACATGTCAATTCTTCTGCCCCCAAAGAGAAAGCAGAATGAGCTCCAGCATTGTCTCCATGTGTTTACTCACTGCTATCACTTATCTCTCTCCTCCAGGAAAGCTCTGATCTAGACACTTCACTCCAACGGTTGCGTGCTCTCAAAGGGGGATTGGTAAAGATCTTTATCCCTGCAGGAGAGGAAGCCTTGTCACCTGGTGCTGGATTATTGTGCTTTCTTGTAAACCAGGCTTTACAGCAGCAGGATTTTATATTAAATCCCAAATCAAAATAATACCATTTTCTCATATTGAGGAAAATTTTCAGGTGCCCCTGTAGAAATGCTGAGATTTTTGCTTAAGAGAAAAGCAGGACTTGTGATGAGGACCTGCAAACATGTAAGAGCAGTTCAAGTCAAAAGGGTGGCAGGACTCTTCCCGTGAAATGGAGAGACTTGGTCCATTTCGGTCTTTAGAGGGAAAGATCTGCACTTGTCAAATGCCCAAACAATTGCGCAGAATAAATGTATGCATTTACCTTGGCTATGTCGTTTCACGCTGTGTTTAGCACACAGCAGCTTAGCAGGTAGCCCTGCCTTTTCACCCAGGTGTAGACCGATGTTTTTCCTATGCAGGGTGAATGGAGTTCCACTCCTGCAGGGGTACAATGGCTGGCATTTTGAAATAGATGAAAGAAAATCTACTGGCTTTGGCAATTTAATTTTGGCTCTAAGGAAAACTTCAAACTAAATTGCAATAATCTCCCACTGTAAATTAACAACTCTGTAATTCTCTGCACTGGTTGTTCAACTGTTGGTTATACAGGGTGAAGCCAAAATTTATTTATGTAGTTATATTTATATATAAGTAATCTTGGCTGTGGTTACTTGAGGGAAGTAATTTACCAGTTCTAGGAGGTCTTTAAGACAGTGAAAGGAAAACTTGCAGCTCTAAACGGATCTCTGTTGCTGCAGAATGCATTTATTAGACTGTAGGATGATTGCATGCTGATTAAGAAAGACTTAAAATAAGGTGTCTATAAATAAGGTCCTCCAAGCTGACAGAGGAGCACTCTGCATCTTAACAGTATTTGGTTAAGAATCCAGTGCCTGAAGGAAATGGAAACAAGAACATTCAAGACCTTGAACTAAGGGAGAGGAAAACAAAACTGACATTTTTTCGAGCAGTAGCATTTCACTGTCAAATTTTCATCTATTAACAAACTGAATCTTATATAAGAAAGCAACATACATCCTAACACATCCAGCGTGTGTGAGATGCCAAATGCCAAGCTCTGGGTCAGAAATGCCAAGGGCATCTCTCCTGATGATAAGCATCAGAATTAGAGGACCTGTGTTAGATACTTCATAGGTATCTCCTATGTAAGGGCTTGGCTAATTAGTGAAAACTAAATGGTAAACACTCTCTCTGGGAATGCTCTCATAACAGCAGCGTCCATGCAGGAATCACTCTTACCAGTTCAGCTGGTAACTCTCCAGGAGCCTGCTGGTGTCTGTTACTCTCGGTTACTTCAAGCGGAGGAATTGGAGAAACTGCCTCATCAAGAGCAATGTGCTAGTGTATCTAGGCATTGTTTGCCTCATCTCATTAATGTTTTATCTGTGCTACTACATGCTGGCTAATGACTTTTAATTCATTTTTCCTTTCTAGCAAAGATAAAGCACCAGAAACTTGTTAATTCCTAATCTGTTATAAAAACACTTAATAGTGGTATCAGTTAAATCTGTATTAAGTCCCAAAGGTAAAAACTTTAATACTACAGCTTCTCTTGCTGTGGTGTAATGAGTGGTTGGAAGAAAATAAAAGAAAAATATATATACACCAGTGCAACTCACCCAGTTTTGAAGCCTTTGAGTGAGTTAAATGTGATTGCACCCTCGGTTCAGCATTCACACTGCTGCTGTTGGGTAGGTGGTTCCTTATGCAGCTGGAACCTGACAGGCATTGCCAAACATCCCCCTGTGAGTGCTTGGCAAGATCTCACTGTG